TACTTGTTATTGCACTGTAGACATTTTATTTGATAAACTCTAGAATTATATATATATATATATATATATATATATATATATATATATATATATATATATAATTTTAAAAAAATTAACGCGTCCTTATTTCTTATTACTACACCTTCTTGTGCAGACATTAATTTCACTGTTAAAAATGGAGGTCCCGCTCAATGTGCCCACTAAATATAGCAATAATATAACGTTTATAGTAATATATATATATATATATATATATATATATATATATATATATATATAGTGTGTGTGTGTATTCCTAAAGAATTAATGAATTTATTTTTAATCCGTTTTTTTATTGCTACAGATGTTATTCTTAGTGAAGTGAATAAATTCTTTGAAGAGACGCTCGTTTTTTTGGGGTTTTTTTTAAACTGTGTATTTTGTGTACCGGCCTGCTCATTCGAGAAGATTGAATAAAGAAAATGCGCTCTCGGACATGGTTCGAACCTGCACTCTCCCTTGAAGCAGGAACACTATTTTAAGTTCGGCGCATCGATTCAAACACTAGTATCCGCTTAAAATGACGTTTGAAGTCGTCAAAATGTCGGATTAAAAATAAATCCACTCATTCTTTTGAAATTGCTTTGTTTACGTTTCAGATCCGAATTTGAGCTGATATGTGTTTTTTATAAAATCTGATCGAGGAGAGTTACATTTCTTGAAAGGGGTCAATAGAACCTTTCTGGCATGCGTCGCTCTCTAAGTCCGAACGTTCTACAGCACAACTGATCAGATGGTGACTTCATCAATAAAGGGGGCGCAATATCCGAACCCTCCCGCTGGAGAGCACATTTTTTATTAAGTTTTATCGAGGGCGCAGGCCGATCGACGTAATACGCACTTTTTTAAAAAAACGTGGTAGGAGATACAGCATTTGTAAAGATAAACAGTGTTTACATAGAAATTAACACATTGTGGTAGTAGTTATCTGTATGCCTTAAGCGATCAACGGATCACGTGCTATTCCTCTTTGTGTGGGCGCTATATAAAGGTCACTGGTTGCTAAGAAAATGTGGAGGCATGCAGAAACCGGTGTCTCCAGTTCATTTTTTAGAGGGTTACGGTTAATGTTTTAGATAAGGGATACACCTTACCTCGGTCATTTTTCGACAATTTCATGATCTTGATAATTTTAAGGTAATGTGTACACTTTCTGACTTTGCTTTCAAAATTAAACAAACCCAATACCGGAGCCATAAATTATGATAATGTCTCTTGAAGTTGAATTAACCTGGATGTGGAATTTGGAAAATCCAGTAAAATCCAAGATATTTTACAAGAATGGCACGTATATGCCTTATGCGAAATATCCTGTTAATTAACTCGTAAAATCCGGAGTTAATTATAAAACAATAAATAAAGTAGAATAAAAATAAAAATCCGAAATTAATCATAGGTTTCTACCTATGACGCATTAATATACTACCGTTCCATTTTGTGAGGCAGAGATACATAAAATATTTCATTTATGTCGTAGGCGCACCACGTACTGCAGCTATAGGTTGCTTTCGGATTGAAACTTGTCTTTCTCCTAGACCTATTGACACATTAAGGTAGCCTAGCTAAATCAGCCATGCTATTTAATCCATAGCTCAAGGGCAGAACAAATGGATTCATACTTTCTCCAAAAGTATTTGTGCGAAAGTGAATGTAATGAACACGAATTTGAATTTGGATCGCTAATTTCTCTCCTAGAATCGCTAATCGTTAGACTGTTCGCACACCATTAAGAAAAGACCCCCCACTCCCCAAAAAAATACAGGAGTGGAGACGCCAGGGATTGAACTCGGAGATTTTATTGTTGTACTTGTTTTTATACTAATTGGTTTGTTGATTTCTTCTTTTAAGGGAAAGTGCATTTTTCCTATTTTAAGATGGCAGGATTATAGAAGGTAAATTGGCAAAACCAATTGCTTGGTGTCTACATGGGAAGCTTTTTGCCGATAGAAAGGATTCTTTTGTAGCATTTTAATGCTTTAGTTAATCATAAATTATAATAACTTTTTTCTAAACCTTAATATAACATTTATTTTTATTATTAATGAGTTTGCTTAAAGTATAGCCCATTTTATTACCAACACAAAGTGAGTGTGTGCATTTCATCAGATTTTGTGTATCGTCTTTTCCTCCAAAGTGTGTTGACAGTTCGTAGTGCTATAGGCACGCAGTCACGTTTTCTCTTTCATCTTCTTTCGTAGGCAAAGAAAGTCAGACCCCTAATCCCAACTTGAGACTCTGTCTAAGCTCTTAAAAATGGATCTTTAGTTACTTCTGTTAAGAGTGCCTGAAGTGTATCTATTTAAACTTCGCCATGATTTTTTCGGGCTCCTTTTGTTTATCAAAACGCTTGTTTTGCTTGGGCAGAATATCAAAGACTACACTAATGTTTTTGATTTTTAAGGTTCTCTTTCAGTAGAACAATAAACCATAAATCAACAGACAAGCCAGAGATTAAAACAAGTGTAAAATCACAACTTCCATTTTATGTAAGAATATTGTCGTTTGCAACAATATTTCTTTACTCCTTCAACTGATGTAGCCATAAAACCCAGGATTTAATTTTATTCTGTTTGTGGCGAAAACCGATAAAAGACGTATCGGCCTTCTGTTTTTACAGAAGTACTGTATATACTCGTGTATAAGTCGAGTTTGAGACAAAGCAATCAATTCTGGCTTGACTTCTGGATAGTTTCGCTAAGTTGAAATATGTGCACAATTGGAAATTATTAAAGTAACTCCAAGTATGTAAAATATTATGGAGTTAAGATAAAGTAAAAATATAAAAATCCATGCTTTACTCATGTCATGGATAGAAAAATGTCATCTACAAATGTTTTTATTGCATAAACATTAATGAAAGATTGGTCACTGTGGGAAAACAATCATTAAAAAACATTTATCTACTGTGGCATGTTTTTTCACTAGAGAGGAAACGCAGACTCCTTATAGGGAAAATAGCGATAATTTTTCAGTTTCCCTTTAAGATAAAAACCGCAAAACCTTTGAAAAGGAGAAGAGACAGAGCCTTATTATTAAAAAAAAATTCTCCTTAGCCGTTCCATTCACCTGTTTCATATTGTCCTGTCAGCTGACCAGAAAAAAGAAATGGGACCGCAATTGAAATCATCAATAATATTTAACTTGAAAAAAGAAGAAATAGCTGAATAGAATGAAAAAATATTTACACTATTTACATTATTCAGACTGTTGTCCTTATCTTTATTGCAATATTCCCGACGTTTTGGCCGTTGTACGCTCCGGCCTTCTTCAGGTGATATTAGTTGGAATTTCGAACCAAACCCTTTATTTAGTCAATGGAGGTGGATTAAAACACCTGAAGAAGTGTATATATATATATATATATATATATATATATATATATATATATATATATATACAGAGTCGAAATAATAGTCAAAATAGCAATTACACAATAACAACACTAAAAAATTATACAAAGTATAGTTTTTCGTCCGGTTCATACTCCTCTCCGGTCTTTTGAACAGGAACAGAGATTTATCCATTGTTTCCTTTTTAGGATTAGATTTCCGTTTCCTTCTAAAGTCTACTTCCACATCATATTTCTAATGTTTCCGACTTAACTATAAAATGTTATTCACTAATTAAATCTTGATCTATTCAATTCTAGAGTTAGCCGTTATTTTTCCTGTATAGCCCCCAAGAACTTCCCTTCTTGTTCTTTCTTACATTCTTATAATACCATACGGTAACCGTCTACATTGAGTGGCTCTTGAGTCTTGTAGTGGGTGAGCAGTAATGAAAAAGGAATATAATACCTGAAAGACCACTGTGTTTGAGCTGAAAATATAACTGGTTTTACATTAAAGTAACTTTTTGTTTTTCTGGTATATATATATATATATATATATATATATATATATATATATATATATATATAGTAGATAACCAAAAAACTTCCAGTAAACAGCCTCTTGACGCAGAGCAGCAGTACATCCTCAAGGCACTTGAGGTCGCCCACTGTATTGAGTCTGAGACCCTGTCGGAAGCTGAATGAAGGCCTAACATCGTCATCACTAGTGATCAATCCAAACATTATAATGTTGACTGGATATATTATCCAGACCTTCCGAATTCTCTGCAAACTGACACCCAAACACACTGAAAAGTTCATATTGGAGCTTCCGTCGCGAATGCCAAGCAATACAGCATGCCGTTGCCAAATTTCTGGCGGAGTGAATTGGGCACTGTCTGTGAGACAACACAGACAGTGCCCAACTGATCCTACTATATTGTGAAGTCGACAAAATCAAAAGCAAACATTGCGCATGCGTGAAATTAAAAATGTAAAATTGTGACAGTTTACCCATCGCACTCTGTATTTTATAGGGGTAGTTTGAAAAGGAAATAATGTAGACAACAATGTGATGAGAAGATGCGGTCTTTATTGTTGATACCCGTCTGATATTAAACATTGCCTTTAATGACGTTAACCACGAATGTCCAATCTCCTTCTGAAATTAATGATAACCCAAAATATTTTTAATGGCTGATCAAAAATATTTTTGTATGCTTTTTGATTTTATTTAGCTGACATGTGGGAGCATAATAAAGATTTTTGAAAATCACCAAATTTTCAGTTGCTCTCGTAACCTTCATTACCAATACTAAAGAATATTTTTAAAAAACTATTTACGTCAGAAATGAACAGAAATATGCCATTAATGCAAATTGTTATAATCAGATACACGGTAAAAATTAAAAATAATAAATGAGAAAGAAATCATAAAATTAATATAAGATTAAGAAAATAAAGGATAAATAGAACGTTGAGAGAAATAACGAACCAATAGAGATCCTAAATCCATTGAACGTTCATTGTCTCAGTTCAAAAAAGAATAATTCTTTGACCGCAATATCAAAGATCGTTATTACTTCTTCCCCATTTTTCCAGCACCTTTTTCTTTCATTCAAACCTAAAGGCGACTACTATAAGAGGAAAAGCGTCTATCTATCTATCTATCTATCTATCTATCTATCTATCTATCTATCTATGTGTGTATGTGTGTGTGTGTGTTTTTTGTGTGTGTTGATTGATTACACCCCATGCAAGGCAGTAAAGCCACTAAGACACAAAGACTTACTTGTTGTGGAAGAATTAGGAAAAGAAACATTACTCATGAACAGGAAGCGGGAAGAGTAATTCAGAGTAATAGCGATTGACATTGCATTTAAATTTTTGGACATTAAAGTTGGCAGGAAAGCATGGAGCCAGAAGGGAGTTCCACAAACAAGAAAAGTTAAAAAAGAAACTGTTAGCATAGAATTTACGGCTACATCTAGCTAGCTCAAGTGTAAATTGATGAGATCTTGATGCCAGTCCAGTACTGCGCTTATTCAAGAAGTCTAGCTACCACAGCGAGGAGCGATATTTATTTTGTAATAGATACAAAAATGTGGCGCAAGGCAAAAAAGGGGGATGGGGGAAAGGAAAGTCTTCTTCTGTCTTATAATTAAACTTAGCAAGCCACAAACACTGACCCCAAAATAACACAACATTCCTTACACCATAGCGAAGAGCAATATTTATTCTGTTATGTAGAAAAATGTGGTACAAGGCCAAAATGAGCAATGGGGGAAAAGGACGACCTTCTGCTGTCTTAACGTTAAACTTAGCTAGCCACAAACACTGAAACAAACATACAACACTATTTCTAACACCAAAACACCGCATTCTTTCTTACCTTTCTAACTACATCCACCATAATACCGCAATGTCTCTATGAAAATCCTAACTAGTTCCCATATGTACAATTTATTGTCTGTGGGGGGAGGGAGGGAAATAAAACTGCGCAGCGAAGAGGTCATCCGAGCAATTACCATGAAAGTATGTATAGAAAAAACAAAGGGAGGCAACTTTAGGGCGGTGGGAAAGTGACTGAAGCCGAGTCACCAGACCAGGATTGATAATATTGCAGGGGCATCGGATCATTTATGGCAGCAATATTCTAAGCATAGACGAATAGTAGACTTATAGATATGTAGGATTCAAGAGAATATATATATATATATATATATATATATATATATATATATATATATATATATATATATATAAGTATATTTATGTATGTGAGTGTGCGTGAAACGAATAATAGAAAGAAACAAAAGAAATACAAAGAGATACTTTCTAATTGAATATCAAGAGATAATGGGTGAAACATTAAAAGGTAAGTAAGAATGAAAAGGTGTAAAAAGTTTGATAAATGAACATTTTTCATGTAGAGCAAAAAAAAAAAATTGAGGATGCACTAAAAATATTTGTGCATTCTTTATTTCTTTTTATGCAAACTTATCCACGTTTGTATAACATTTAGATAACGTAGTCGGCCAACGAAGATTGAAAAGGATAAGGATAGAGATGAGAAAATACGGGTAATGTGTGAAAGATCAATAGTAAATAGTAAATAATGTTGTGCATGCGTGGAATTCATCTGGACTCAGTTATTATTATTATTAATATTATACATATCCCTTTTAAGTGTTTCTTTGACACTGAATCAGAAGTGACTTTTATAGAAGAATTCTTTTGTCGCGATCAAATGTTCACATAAAGTAAAAAACATTAACAAATTTCCTATTGAAGCAAAGAGTTTAAAGGAAATAAAAACGCATAACTTAAGAATCTTATGGTCAAGGCACTCAAATGTAATTTCAATTTCATTCGCAGAAACAAAACTGTGTATCTTTGGGCAAACACAATTCTAAGACGGATACGAAAACATTCCAGAAAACTTAAGTCTTAAGTTAATGTGAAAAAGAATTACTGGAGTATTTTGGTGAAAATATAGATATGAATAAATGTTTCTAATGTTTACATTAAAATTAATAATTATTGGTACATATATTTATTAATCAAAATATTTCTATTGACTTTCTATGAACTTAGACCAACGTCTTGGAATTTATTGAATTTCATTTTGATAAAACAATACTGGTTTCGATACAATAAAATTGTCAATAATGATGACTTCTACAAATTTTCCACCAGATAAAAAATGCTGCAATGACGAAGCGTGGAAGAATTTCTGAATCCCGCTTCTTCGTTGGATGAATAAAGGGACATGTGGACGAGCGTTATCATACAACATTATGATTTTTTTATTTTGCCCGTTCTAAAAGAACCTTCTTTTTTATGACATCGTTCAAACATGAATTGGTAATGGCTATAATGTTCGATACGAAAAGTTTCATCAGACGTAAATACTTCTTATTAAGGAAGCCTTCCATATATCATATCTTCATTGAGAATTTTTTATAAAAAAAGATTTTCATGGAGTCCTCAACTGCTATGTAATATCAGTTCTACTAAATATCAGTGAATGCTGGACAATTTCTTCAGCGATAAACAGAAGAGGAGACTTGAGGCAACAGAAATGTGGCTCTACAGAAGAATACTGAGAATAGCATGGATGGAGAAAGTGTCAGTGAGGAAGTATTAAGAGAAATGGAAATAAAAAAGACGCTTATATTTAAGATCAGGAAAAAGACGGTTGAAATTTCTGGGATATCCAGAGAGGAAAGAGAGATTAGCGAATCTGAGACACACTTGACGCACAAGTGGAGTAGAGTGAATCATCGAGTAAACTACGAAGACAGCTGCTGTAAATGGACGGCCGAGAAGGAACTGGGAGGGATAGTAAGAAGACAAACATGGTTTTGAGTTAAGGAAGTTGGGGAGAGCCACGATCAACCACAACCTAAAAGGACGCGGCATATAGAAGAAGAAGAAGAAGAAGAAGAAGAAGAAAAAGAGGAAGAAATTAAATGAAATACGGGTGGTGATAAGCTTGCTTTGTATACTTCCTGTTACTAGTAACCCTTATGCAAATATAAAATGCATTTGTCTTGTTTATTTACCTAATGATTATATATATATATATATATATATATATATGTGTGTGTGTGTGTGTGTGCGCGTGTGTGTGTGTGTGTGAATAAAATGATTATATGAAAGGGCGATGTAATGTTCTCAGCCCGACGAAGAAGACCTTCCAAAGAGGCGGAGAACTTTTTCAATACCCTCTTCTCGGATATATAAACTGAGAGAAAATAAGTCTGTAAGACGCTGAAGAAAGATGCTGATTTTTACTTGCGACACTATGGGCATATTGTGAGTAGTAGACTTTTGAAAAGTTTTCATACTTGCTCCTCGTGTAACGTAGTAGTAACATTAATAAGAGTGTACCTTTTGTATGTGCTTTAGAATGTGACATATGTTACGGCAAGGTTCAATGAGATGAAAGATTTCAGTACAAGCAATTGTCATGCCATGAAAATGCTCAACGAGCCTTTTGTTCAATTAGTTCCGTTTGAAGGAGTCGTATTGTGGGCTTTCGACGGGCTAAATTTCATTATGCTACTGGACGTAACTGGTCGATGGTGCTTCAGTGTTAGCAGCAGTGGTCAAATGTATATTCCTATAGTCATGACAGTTGGACAGCCATATGTAGTAAGGATGCATTGTAACAACAGCAGTGAACCTACGGCACAGATAGGAGTAAATATGGCCACAGGAATATTAACACAGACCTTTGAGAATTGTTTAGAAGCAGAAGAACTACGGAAACACTTGCCTCAAACCCGACGGGTTCGTCTTTAGTGGTGTCCCGGGTGAATCGTATTCAGTGATGGGAAAGGATTCTCCCTTCATGCAAGTGTCATTTACGGATACGATGTAAACCTCAACATTACGGTGTCGGGTGCCTTAAGCAAACGCATTTCGAGCTTCTTTCATGTTTGCAGATATATAGGACACTATTCTTTGAATAGGCGTCATATATATTCAGTACATTTCTCGACAGAACGCCTACCTGTTCCCAATTGAATTTATATAGTACATGATGGGACGGTGTTTGACTCGTTCAATTTTCTCACCTACAACTGTTGTTGCATTGTGTAAAAAGGGACAAAAAGCTTATAATAATGTATCGCAGGTTTATATTAACGATCGTTGCACAGGAAAGATATTTAGGTTCCTTTATATTCATTCATCTCTATTAGCCATAATCTTAAGTAGTTTGAAACGCATATTCAGGGTGTTGCAATTTTATTTTCTGTCGATAAAAGTAATAATAATAATTTAAATGTAGTATGGAAGCACTGTGAATTAATGGATAGCGGCTCGGATTGAGGAATCGGAGAGCCGAGTTCGAATTACAGTCGAATCCATTACATTACATTCAATCCTCGTCTTCTCCCCTCTAGCTATGGGTAAATAACAGGACAGACCAAGTTCTATAGCCTTAGATGGCAACTGGTCTACTGCAGAAAGAAATGGCAAACTACTGCGGGAAAAATCTGCCTCGACAGTCATGTATCGAAAGATACATGATCTCCTAAGCGTGTACCACGCATGGCACATAATTGACTGATGGACAAGTCATCTGAAAGGTGAATATAAAGCCAATGTTTTTTTTACATATACGTCTTTATCAAATGAAAAACATCTTAGATATGGTGTGATCAGAGGTGCTTAAAGTTCTCGGCTTCAGCCACTTCCAAAAATCTGCCCAAAATCAGGATTTTTAAATATCCTTCTTGGTCATACAAGTCAAAGAAACTAATAACTAATAATCATGCTATTATTCTGCTTGTTTATATATGCGACCGTTATGCTTTGGTATCTAGGATCAGAGTGTAGTACCTGCTTGTTTTTCGGCTTAACTCAAGAATAATTAGAAAAAGAAGGAAAGTAGGAGGTGCAAAAAAAAAAAAAAAAAGACAAGGTAAGAGGGAAGAAAGCTAAAAATGCGAAAAAAAGGTAAATGCAAAAAGGGAATATATATATATATATATATATATACGCAAAGAAGTGAGTGAGTGAGTGTGTGTGTGTGTGTGTGTGTGTGTGTGAGAGAGAGAGAGAGAGAGAAAGAGAGAGAGAAAGAGAAAGACAGTGGAGAAAGTAGGATACAAAAGAATCAGGAGACAAACATGAAAATAAGAGAAATATTGAAAGGTAACTACACTACATTCATTTTTTTAAAGAAGAGATAG